TGTTATTCCTGTGATACCATAACCTGTTCGTTTAGTCAAGCCTGTATTTCTTGCAATCTACATACATCACCCTCACATAAATCTATTAGACTGCTGTATTGAGAAATAATTAAATAATTATTCTGGACCAACAGTCTTCCATCAGGGGAGTGAATATTAAGGTTCCTGGCAACTCCCTTTGTCTTTCAAAGTGAAAATATAAGGCATATTTTGCACACTCTCCTCTTTGATGAATTTTGTGTTATAGGTAAGAAATGAAACTTCTTTCACCTCTTAGGTGAAACTTGTGACTGTATTCTCATGCGCTTTGCGTGCACTTAAGGCCATTTGTTCTGTACACCTTGAGAAATCCATTAATTTCCAGAGAGTTTGTGTGATGCCACTGTAACACTGGACCTTTCAATGTCATTCGAATGAAATGCTATTTGCATCTAATGAGATTATGCGAATGCTACGCAGAGATATACAATCCCATTAGAATCGAATGAATTGGGCAATCGAATGAGTTCTAGAAACATATTTGCCGACGTAGTTAAAACAAATGTATGCCTTCTACCCAGAGACTTAAAAGGCGGCATTTAGCGTTATCAATTTGACCTGCATGATGCAAACACGCTAATAATGCAGCGTTCTTTTTAGGGCATCTATCAATTTAACAAGAATGCTGTCACAAATGTCTTCACTCTCCACCTCTGTGGCGCTTGGCTGCCGGTGCTGTCGGCCATGATATAAACAAGCAGACACCTCTGGGCACGCGTATGCGTGTATTTGCAGTGATGGCATCAGCTGCACGAGCGCAATGAACCCACGCAGAGACGCTTGCAAAGCTACGGTCGTTCCGTCGCGAGCTGTTCGCCCACATGGGCACGTGCGAGACCGTGTTTTAAAGCAAAAAAATGCGATGCGCTCAGGGTTTATGTTTGCGGTTGCACCACAAGATAACAGATGTGCAATTGTTACTTCGCGTTCTAGAAAACCTGAATAGACCTGACGTTCATTTTGCCGTTTTTTTTTTGTCCCCCTGTGCACGCCCTGCTCCTTGTGGTTATTTTATCGGCTGTGTGTATACTGGTTAGGTGGGTCATCTTGGCTCATAGTGGCCATTTAATTTGCGATATAAAATTTCTATGCGTATTTATTTAGCAAATTATTTTCGCATGTTTTTAAAGGAATAACAAAAGGAATAAGCAGTTGCAAGTGAGCACCTGTCCTGTCGGCGTGTTTTTTTTCATCAGTGTGGTCATCGTTTTGTCGCAGGACTAAATATTTCTGAATATCTTCACTTTATCACTCTACATTTTCCTTCTTCAATTTTTGCAGCCATTTCTTTCTGAATTGTCGACACTGATGCCATGTACAGTCACAACGACATTACTTTTTGCGGCCGTGGTGTAGCACCACCACGAATCGAACAGTATTCGTAGCTCAGACTGCCATTTGAATCTAGTGACATTAACATCTTCAGTCTTATTAGTCTGCTTGCACTCCTATTCAGCCATATCTTCTAAGAAAGTTTCCTTTTGCTGCGTATAACGTCCTTAAGGATGTCTCCTTATACTCCGTAAAGCTTCCCATATTTCCTCTTTTTTCCATATTTTCCGTAAATAGTTTTCCGTATATACAACATTACTTCCGTATCCTTCCATATCTTTCATAAAGATTTTTCCGTATGTCCAACATGATTTCCGCATGTTTCCATACTTTCCTTAAAATTTTTTCCGTATATTCCATACAACTCTCGTATGCTTCCATATACCTCCATATTTATCCCGTATATTTCGTAAGGAAATCGTACGGTGTCCATATTTTTTTCTTAAGATTTCATACGAAACGTTTTGGTAGAGGTATGGGTTAATTACTGTAGGTCCACAGACAATCTGGCGAAATTTGTGCAAATTTGTTCGAGCGTTAACTTGCAATCGAATATTTTAATAAACAAGCGAGTGGTCCAAGTGCTGGGAAAAACTGGCGCACTTTCTAGCCGTTAAGTCAGTAACCACGTGCTAGGCGAGCTGCGGCATGGTTTGCATTCCGGAGGACGATCGTGTTCTGTAATCAGCTGGCTCGCAATCGAACTTTCTCTGCGTTTTTCAACTTGTCACTGAAACTAAATGACTTCCAAGGGTTTAAACAATCCCACCACGTCCCCCATGTAGCGCTGGTACTTGCACTAAGCCATTGAGTGATATGTTAAATAATAGGTGGGGTTTAATGTCCCAAAACCACCATATGACTAGAGAGACGCCGTAGTGGAGGGCTTCGGAAATCTCGGTGGTTAAAGAACGACCTGGGTTGTTTAACGCGCACCCAAATATGGCCATAAGGGCCTACAGCATTTTTGCTTCCATCGAAAATTGCAGCAAATTTTGAATGTCTAAAAGTCTCCTGTGAATGCGCAATGCGTAAATGCCGTTTGTCACTGCGAATAAATAATTATTGAAACTCCTCGAAGGCAGTGCCATAGTTCAGCGGCACAATTGCTTTTTTTATCGGAACAGAATGCAATTGATAGAGTTCAAGCAAAGATTCGACCAAAATGTATACTGTGAGTAACCGTAGTGCTACACTGACAAGTCGTTCACTTCGGCGTTTGTTTACATAAGCCGAACGCAACAACTGATCAAAAAACAACAGCCTCAACGCGCAGCATTGCTACTACCACTTATTGATTACGTTCAGCACTGAAAGTCGCGCATGCACGCATACTCGCCTACAATGATCTGCACGCTTTGCCAATTCCATGGCACTAAGTAGCACTTGCTCGCGAATGTAGCGTTGACTAACCCCCGTATCTCAAGCTTGCGTTTTAACCGTACACACTCGAAATAAAGCTACTTATCCTTGAGGAAAGCCGTCCGCAACGTCTGCCACATCGGCGAAGTCGTTGGCATCTTCGTTCACACCGTCTTCGACGCTTTTTTTGTCGCTTGCAAGCTGGTGCCAATGGTGTCGAAGTCAACATGCGCAACGTACACGATGCCGTCGCCGCATATGGTGATGGTACAAGTAACACGCCGCTACACTTGGGACCCTCTGACACGTGCGGACCATGCGGCAAGCAACACTTGCAATATTTACTGTGTGCGAAAGGTACTGTCTGGTAGCAGACGACGACACTGCTCGGCTTCTGACATCACGCAGGCCATAACAAAATGGCGGTCACTGGTGGTGGGCTGAGTTTACAGCCAATGAACTCCACGGCTTATTTTGGACTGAAATATCCTCTCACAGTCGAGTTTTCACACGTGTAAAAGCATATATGTCCCTCTAACTTCAATTTTCGCTGAAAACCGTCAATATTTGGGTGACCATGTCATCACCCCTTCAAGACAGAACCGAAGCTTTGCTTCAAACTAGCGTCGAGTTCTCCAATAAAAAATGTCACTTATCACGAAAAAATGACGAGTTTTTTTACGCCAATAAATGCCAAATTCAGACATATGTCGAATAAATTGTTGAATTGCTCGGCATAGCTAGCTTTGTCTTACATTGCCTGCATGCCACAACCCTCTGTCTTATCTTCCCTCCTTTTCCCTCTACCTGGCACGCTAACCAAGTGAGATAACTTAGCGCGATCAAACTTGTGACGCTGCTGAGCGAGTGACGAGAAGGAGTTGAGGCAAGCGCTACAAACTCAAATCAGCCACTTCCCTAGCTTTGCCTTTAAACTGTACTTACCAACCAATATTTAAAAAACAATAAACAAAGGACGAGGTATTTATAGTGAAATCAAAATTTTTTATTCGTAAAGACTCGCGGAAACCAATATTTGCGAACTTCTACATCAAGCTCTACCAGACCTAAGGGATGCCGGGCAACCTCTATATGAGTACGCACGTTCGTTGACACAGAAAGTAGCACTCAGTTTCCGGGGCCTGGTCCAATACTTGAATCTATTTTGTTCTCACTCTTCGTCAGTGATAATCTCTATTCTTAACCTATTCGCAAGTAACTCTATATTGAGTTTACACTGCCTCTATTATATCATGTCACTCTCTACAGGAAGCCTTATCGCCAGCCAATACGAAATCGCTTCTGCGTTTTTGATAGCATAGATTCCCGTAATTCACGGGATCTGCCGAATTTTGGCTGAATACAAAGTACATCGTTTTGGACTCTAATAAATGATTCCCTAAACACGTGGTCTGTACTTTGGGAAACTCGAATTGACAAGCTAGATGCATATTGTTCGTTGACATGCACAAAGGCAGAATGTTTCAGACTCGACTACTCATGAAGGAGTTTTGTATTGCGAAGCGAAACAATAAAACAGAAAGGAATGGACTGGGAGGACAGAGTGCTTGGTATTGTGATGCGAGGAGAAATGCGGACACAGGAAGGAATAGACTGAGAGGCCTATTTAGCAAATGAATCACCGACAAGCCCACATTGCATTTCTCGTCGAATACTCGGTTGGGTGATTCTGTGCATGAAAAACGGAAAAACGGAAAACGGAAACTGACAGTGGCGTGAGTGGTCGACGGTGGTCAGGAAATCTGAAAAGCCATTGGTGAACGGGCACGCGGAATCGAACTTTCCATCCTCATTGCCGGTACTGTCGTATGCTCTCAAGTAAACATTACAATCCACGTACAGTGGCAGGCAGCTCATGATCATCTTCTTGCGATCGATTCACAAGGAACAATTTTCTAGTCAACTTCACTGTTAAAATACGTTTCTACGTGCCCTCTCCAGCACGCGGACCTTCTGTACGAATTTTTCCTTTTTTAGGCGTAAATGTTATCTGATAAACCTTGTCTCAGCATTCCTGCAAAACAATTATGTGCCGGTTCTCCTTGTAAATGCGAGACGTTAGCTTTCTTACTGATATTAAGAGCGGAGAAACAACAGTGGAAGGCACCTTAGAGCATGTTCTTTGTAATACGGTTCTCACGCTGTATACGAGAGATACCACTTTTCATCATTAGGCCTGGTGATACAAGATTTGAAATTTATATGACAAATTAAAACTGTGACACCAGAATAGCGACAGTTCTTACCTGCGAGTGGAAAAAACTGGCAGTACATGTCTTTGAAGGTGTTCTCGTTCACAAGGCCGGTGGGACAGGACTGCAAGTAGTAGAATGAGAAAAATGCATCTATGGGTATGGAGCATTTTGCGTGTCTTAAAGCATACATGCACCTTTGCACTGAAGTTGAATGTGATGTGCCTTTTCGGCCACCCCTGCATTCTGTAGTTGTCATTACAAATTCATAGAATCTGCAAGTTATTTAACGAAAGCAGAAACGTTGGCATTCTTTTCTTTTACAGAATATTCTCTCCACAAATATTAAAATCCGCAAAGAAGCTGAGCCCGACTGTGCTTACACGATAACATTTCTATCCAGTTTAACAATGTTAGTATTAAACACGGAATAAAGTGAAGCTGCTGAGAAGCTTCAAAGAAGCTTCAGAGGAGCAGGCACTATTTCGAAACACTGCGACAAAGCAACTATTAACAATTACCACGTAACGCTTGGCATTGAATATACTGCAAACCATAGATGCAAGCGTTCAATTTTAATTTCAATTTGTCGATTTCAGACATATATACTCAAGAAATATTTTCACGCGGTAAAGGAAAAAGAGACTCGTGACTTCTGAATAGGCCTCAACCCCGGACCTAAATGTCCGACAGCAAGGACAACAGAAGCAGGGAAAACATGTCAAACTGAAGACATAATGAACTTCTTATTAAGCAGTATGCAAATAAGAATGAAATTAAAAACGATTTGACAGGAATATTGGACATGAAAAAATGATTTCACATGACATGAACATTACTCGAGAGAGTAAATGTCTGTGAATGTAAAATACATACAATACTAAAAAAGACTTGTAATAGATAATGGAAGACTTATACATTTGTAGGAGACATGAGAAGTAGTTGAACTTGCTTTTGAAACGAGAAACTCGTTTTGTTTTATTGGCTAGTTTAATTAGGGATCAGCGTGCATTACACAAAGAAATTATTTGATAATCTAAAGTTGTTGTACCATGGTTACTCCGTGGTCTTGATCCCGTCAGTGGTGTAGCACGTAGGCTGTATGCCACTTGTCTGGTTAGGTATTTGTTTGAGAAGGCGGCATAGTCGTGTTTAACCGCGCGGAATACTATTGTAGCTAAGCAAAATTTATGCAAAATAAGAGAACGGTAGTTTGTTAAAAGCTTCATTCAGCGAATCAGTAATGAGGGTGGATGAAAGGACATTAGCTTGAAGCTTCTTGTTTGTAAACAAAAAACACGTTCGACATCTGTCTTGTTTCAAGTACCCCAGACTAAGTGACAGAATGTTAGACGGGAGTAAATAAGGAAAAATAAAATTGTTTTCTAATGCGCAATAAAAATTTTTTAAATTTGCTAGACAAAAAGACAAAAAGATCTAGATAACATAACACGAATATAGTTCAGATTGACTGAGGTAAGACATAAAAATTACCCCGTCATCGACAAGAGTTTACGATCGCTATTGTAGAATGATTGATACTCAATTTTGTGTAATGAAAGAGCGGATGATTTTTTGGAGGAAATATTACATACTGTGTTTTCTTTACTGTTTAAGTTAATTTGATTCTCACTGAAATAGATGTGAAGTTCTTTAAGCCAGGTGTTAACACGCTGCTCTAATAGGTTTAGATATGGGCCGAAAAAGAAAAGTGTTATCGACGTACATATCAATGGCAGGAATAAAAATATTATTCGTGATATCAATATTGTATAAATGAAAAGTAGAAAGCAGATGACCAAACGTTATCCTTATGGAACCCCTAACTTACATGCCCAAGCCGAAACTTGAATTCGTGCCAGTTCAAGGATTCCATATGCCGTTAATTTTGAAACAAAATTTGGTGCATGATAGAATCAATGGTTGTCTGAAAATCAAGAAAAAGTCCTACTGTGAAGAAGCGCTCTTTAAAATTACTGAGTAGTTTTTCTTTTTTTTTTGCAGTAGAGCGGATTCAACGAATTTACCTGCCGAAAGCCGTACTGGTGTTTAGAGATAATATTTTTAACTATGAAATTGAAGGATCATTCATAACTTACGCGTTCTGCGATCTTGGATAAAAATTAAAATATCGATATTGGTCGATAATTTTTGAGATCACTTTTTGTATCACTTTTAAATATGGCAGTAACCCGTGCAGCTTTCATTTGGTCAGGTCAAATGCCAGCCGGCCACATTCTGTTACATATATAAGTTGAAGAAGCAGCAATATAACAAATAGCTGCTTTAGGATTTCATCCTAATCGGGCGAGAACGTGTCTTTCAGTGTGGACATGGTGGATGATATCTCTTATCTGACGCATGTGATAAAAACATAGAATGCGTATAGGCCGTAGGAAAGTACAGATTATTACATTTTGTGAAAGGTGCTTCTTCAGAGCCTAGGAAAGCACCTGATGCCATCACAAGCACATTAAACTCATCTGCAAGCGTCGTGCCAGAGATTGCTTTGCCTTTAATGCGTAGCTCGGTAGGGTAAACGTTTGTTTAAAATGCAAAGACACGGGAGGCGGACGCGTTGAAGACGCTTGCGCTTCCATTCTTCCAAAAGCGAGCCAAGGAAGACGCTTGTCTTTCTTGGCTCGCTTTTTGTCGGTGTCACTCACGCGCCATCTGTATTCTCGAACGATATCGGTGTCCTTGACTCCCACCTTGTCGGTGTCACTGGTCTTCCACTGCCGACACTTGCGTTAGGCTTCGCTGGCTCGTGCCTCGTTTGTTTTGACATCGCCAGTCGCGAACTCGATAGGCTTCGCTAAGACACGACAGCCAAGAATGATACTCGCACACTAGCGGGAAGCATGTCACGACGCCGTCCCATCTGTCGGCGCGATCAAGCAGCGCTGTGCTGTCCTCACTGTCGGCGCCGTGAAATTCTCTAGATGCACGCCGCGCGCGCACCCGCCGACTCGCGGATTCACGGAGGAAGGAAAGGTAAGGAGAGGGCATGCCCAGCCGGTGCTGGGCGTGAAAACTGTGGTGGACACGACATCATAGCGGCCATATTCACTAGGCACAATGGCGGCGTTGTTATGGTTACGTGTTGCGCATAGGAGCTGGCCTAGCAGTGAGCGGCTGCGGCTGGCGGCGGAATGTGTGCCTCCCCAGGTCTCGTGCTGAGCCGTGGCGGACAATATCTGTGCTCTGCGCGGCGTTATTGGTTACGCAGTGTTCTCCTGGCAGTTACATTACTCTTAGCAACGTTTACAAATCCCTTTGTCTATCACGGGGTTTCAACAGTGCGTAGAACAAGTGCATATCCATGTGTCGTGCGGCGGATGACGCGGATGAAGCAGTTAATGTACAGCGAAATTGCGTTGGGCACCATGACGAAGCTTAATGACGACGAACGCCTCGCAGGTCAGTGACGGTTGAGCAGTGCTGCTGCTTGTGACAACGGACGACGCTGGAGCCCAGCAAGACGCCATGAGGTCCATGTGCACATACGTAGTTTCGTGTTGTGTGTGTACAGTAACAACTTGCATGTGCGTATTAAAACACCTGTTCCGCTTGGTACACTCTCTACCAGCATTGCATGTAATGTCAACGTAACAGCAACCGCGTTCAACTGTCACTAGCACCGTGCTCAAAGTCACCACGGTCGCAGAAGGCTGACGCCGGTGAGTTCCACGCGGAACACGGACACAGTGGCAGGACGCTGCGTCGGCCGCGTGGTGGAATGCAACCGTGGAAGGCGCACGACCGATTGTGTTGTCTGTACAGTTGCTGAATTAATGACGTGAAAGCACTCGCCGTTGTCAGTGCATCTAGCGCGCGTTCTCTCGTAGTTGCTTCGTCGTCGGCGAGCTGTTACTCCCTGTTATTACTCGGACGAAGCGATTTTGCTGAAGGTGTCCCGCTGGCTCTGAGTGATGAGCCCAGTTCCATTAGTTTCGGATCGTCACGACACACGCGCTGCGCAGCCCACGTGCTTTCCGAGCCGGAGAGGGAGTCGGGCCTTCTGCTTCGCATTCATATGTAAATAAGAGGGGAGAATTGGCCTAGTCAATATGGCCGACTTCCGGCTTTATCGCGGCTTCACAACGAGTGACGTCAGGGCCTCTCCTTACCTTTCCTTCCTCCGTGCGCGGCTCCTTCTCGCCGACTTATGAAGAGAGGTGGCACGGGTGAGATGATGCCCACGTGAGGTGTTGGCTCGAGCGTTGCAAACAGCAGAGAGATTGAAGTGAGAGAGAGACAAAGCTGACACATGGTGAGTGCGCGGCAGGCTAGGGGGAGAGACGTCACTGCGCACTGCTAGGAAAGCGTGAGCTACTTGGCACTGCTCCAACACCTGTGGCGTGGAAGCGGTGCGGACAGAGGGACATAGTTAGAAAGGATAGTCAAAAAGCTGCATCGCATGTAAATGATGGACCTTCTCCCTGATAGGAATTCCATTGAGACGCGAAGCAGCAGCGGTGTGCACGGCATCCACCCAGTTGGAACGGGTGTCGACGACGGTGCTGGAAGAACAATGAAACTCGGGAAGTTCTGGTGGATGAGGCGGGTAACGGTAACTGTGCGTGATGTTCGTCTTCGAAACCTTGCCCGACGTTGAGCAGACCGCGAAGCCAGACGAGTGCCCGCTGAACTCGCGTATACTGTATACGAAATTTTTTCGCGTTTTTGGGGCCCAAGAAGGGGGTGCGCTAATTATACGGGGATTTCATGAGGGTGTACAAAATATTCTTTCACAAAAATAAGGGGCGCAATAAATACGTTTAAAAACATTGGAGCAGAAAAAAATTGTACTTGTTAATTTAGAAGATTTAGCACGTGCTTTAACCAGTCCGATCTGGTCAGGCTCGATCTAGTGGGAATCATTGATCGCAAAGTCCAATTGGGAGTCATCATCGCGGCCACTGCTACCATTCACTTAAAGCGCATCGTCCTCTGTTTTGTCGAGTGCGTTAAAATGCCCAATTTTTTTCAAGCTCTTCGCAACAATAGTGTGAGAAACTAGGTTCCACGACACGGTGGTATTGGGTGACTTAAGCATTCGCACATAATTGAAAAGGCCTCCTGCAGTGACGGAAACCTTATATTAGAAAGCGCGCACTTCTC